GTTTACTTTTTAGTCTTGACAAAGTGAAGGTTCCTTTGGGGAGTTTCACCATTTTTTTCTTTTCCCGTTAGATGGGGACCTTCTCTTTCCGCTTCTCCTCCTTGCTTTTTCTGGCGGTACCAGAATAAAGAGATAGCCGGGGCACAAATGCCCGACCCCCAGCAGCCGGCAGCCCTGCCCATTTCTCGGTCCGGTGTTCTCCGGTTCTGCACAACTTTAGCACATTTCTTTGGCCGGAAATTACTGTATTTCTCGTATTTCCTGATCCCTAGATTTCAGGCGTAGAATTTCACGCAAAAATGCAAAATGGAGAGGCGAAACGGATGGGGGCTCAGGTTTGGGCTTGAAATTACAAAAAAATACTTTAAAAGCTTGGTGTTTCCTTTTTTTCTGTTGGGAAAACTAAAAAAATGAATTTTGCAAAAAAAACTATTTATATTCCAGCCGGAACACGCAATGATCGGCGTCTATCCGCTCAATTCCCCGGCTGCCTCCTCCGCCTCGTCGTTCGCCTCGTTTTCCCCTTCGTCAACTACGGGTACGAGGTTTTTTTATCGTTTTAGCTTATTAAAAAATAGACTAAAAGTCGTAATACATTTTTTACCTTTTAGTAGGTAATTTAAAAAAGCCAAAAAGCCAAATTTCTAAAAAAACAGTTTTAATAATATTTAGGCCTGCCGGCTTCTCCTCCCCCTCCCCCAAACGTGCCTTCCGTTTCCGACGAAGAGCTGGCGCAGCTCAGCGTCCGCCAATTGAATCAACGACTACAGGTACGAAATGATACTATCGACAAATGGCATCGAACGAGACGATACTATCGACAAAAGGACAAAAAAGTGCTCGAAAGGATGCCGGCGTCAGCCCAACCTGGGAATTTTGCGGGCCGGGCCGGCCCGGCCCGCCTGGCCCCGGCCCGGCCCGCCACCCCAGTTTCGCCGGCCCGGCCCGGCCCCGGCCCGAGCGATTTTTCGCCCGGCCGGCCCGACTTTTAAGGGTCAAATACGGGTTTGGCCAAAAACTCCCCCCAAGCTGGTTTAACACCATTGCAAGGTATTTTGCTGTTAATACGGTATTAGTGGGACCATTTTGCAGCACTTCGGTTACTGTAAAATTTAAATTTCAAAGTTATAACGATTTTTAAGAGCTAAATATCGACCGATATCAGGGTAATAATGTTAAATTAAGCCATTTCGAGTTTTAAATCGCCATATTAATATATATTTTGGGTCTTTGTTGAGTACTACGATACATACTGATACATCTAAGAAAAAATCCGGTCGCGCTGACAAAAAATTCAAAAGCAAAAAACGCCGGGCGGGGTCGAACCCGGACCGATTCCTGGTAGGGGCGTAATCGAGAAAAAGGACTAAATTTTTATTGAGGCTGTATAATAACGCCAAATCGACTATTCGTGAGCGAAAATATGCAAAATAAGTCCCACTTCCCCCAAAAATGTATTTTTAGACTTAATAACATTTAAAAACCCCGGTTTTTTTTTTGAGCATCAAAGTGTCGTCGCATAATCACTCATTTAGCTAAGTAACAGTAGGCCGGCAGTCTCTATATCGAGGTGCTTTCCCGGAAAATCGCTAGCGAACTTTCCTGAACACAGTGTGTACTAGTCCACTCCAGGCCTTGATAGACATCATCGCAGATACCGTCAGTTATAGGCGAGAATAAAGCTGTTATACCACCCAAGAAGCAGGAAGGATTTATGCAAATACGCAACATATGAAAAGCTAACAGGTTTAGGGCTATTCCTGGGGGGGCCGTCATTGTGGTAGCTGTTGATCGGGGTGCGGCCTGTCCAAGTTGTTGATTCGCCCATGCGCGTCCATCGCTGGTATCCTATTGGCGACGGGGTCTCCTGTCTGCGTTCGAGCAGCATGAGCTGAAAAAAACAACCATGGGTAAAAAACCGTAGGCAGAAGCGTCCAGGATCTGATTAACTATTTATCATCCAGTATATAGGGCTAGACAAAAATAAAAATCGTCCCCTCTAGGGCTAGACAACAAATAAAAATCGTCTCCTCGTGGAAAACGCCGGTTCTTGAGTATTCCCGGGGCATAAGCCTATTTTAATAGCAAAACCTTTAAAGTTAGAAAACGCTTGAAAAAGTCAAAAATTTTATCATTTTTAGGTTGTAAAATTTGATTTTTCGACCATCAACTTTTTTAATTAAATCTTGTAAAGTTTGTATGCTTACGAATAGCTATAAACAATTTAGAAACACTCCACTATTTATATAAAAATCTAGGCTTGAGCCGAAAAACTTCGGTTCCCCCGGAATACTCAAGTACCCCTTTTTGTCAAAGAACATTTTTCTAATGAGCTACCGAGATAAATCCTGATTTATTACAAAAATGATTGGGTGCGTGATTTCCTAAAAGGAGCCCAGTTTTTTTAGGAAGGTAAAACACACCTGAAGAGGCGTTTCTTCTCCTTGGCGTAGATCTTCTTCTCCCAAGGGTTCCAGTCAAAATCGAGGATCAATCGATAATTGAAAGATGCAAAGCCGTCGAGCACTCTAAACAGGGAAAGAGCGTAAAGCAGAAAAACACGAAACTACCGGTAGTGAACATCCGTCTTTTGGCCCTTTTGCTGGCCATTGAGGAATGCCTTGACGTAGAGATCGCCGCATGGTTGTTGGAAATTGCGCTTGCAGACGACCGCGTTGAACACGTTGAAGATGGCGATGCGGATTTGGTATTGTTCTGGGCGGCGGACGGAGATGTCAATCGGGCGGGGCACAGGGCCTGAATTTGGTTAAGGTTTTTGCAGGTCAGGCTAGAAATTACCGATATCCAAGGGAAAGATGTCGACCCAACAGCGGATGCGGCCCACCTGTAGATAAATGGTGAAATCTATCGAAAATACCTCTTGCTTTCCACCATGGCTGTCAAATAGTGGGCGTGATTCGACGTGCTCAGGCACCAGACCCATCTGGAAAATAAGCCAGTTTTCGAAAAGCGCAGAAACGTACCTTGTGGAGTACAAAAAGGGCCACTCGTTGCACCGGGCTGCCGACCCGGGGTCTGGGCGTTGGCTCACGCTCAATGTCGCTGATCATGAATTTGACGCCCAGCACCTGAAAGCAAAAACGTTGAGCACAAAACTGATACAATGCACCTCAAGTCCCAGATTCGGATAGGCATCGCCAAGGAAACGCGGTGGTGGGAGTTGCATCCGACGGCAGTATCGACGAAGGGTGGAGAGGGGGCTGAGTTGGTCCCTCCACACCAGATCGCCCTGAAGATGTAGATAAATAGTCAAAAAAATTAAGATAACAATTAGGTTAATATCAAGCCCCATTATAAGATTTTAAAATTCTGAAGTTTTTGACCAATTTTCCCGGTTTTTTACTAATCTTCGACAAAAATCACAATTTTTCGGAACCTGTGTGACCTAATCAAGATTTTACTTTATGAAAAACAGTGATAAACGTCGGAAATACCCGACATTTCAATCCTAGCCCCTCACGCGCATCGAAAAAAAATGTCCTAGCACCCCCACTAACACACAAGCCCTGATACCTTTGTGGTGTATTGCTGCGGGAGGGCTACAGTAGTCCGGTGACGTGTCAAAAGGCGGTCCTCGAGATCGATCGTTGTGGAGCCGACTTCCTCGTCACGGATGATGCGCCGGCGATTCATGACGGTTATCACCAAGTCCTTCTCGAGCGGCAGTTCAACGTCAAATTCGATCAACTGGAAAATCCGATTTTGAAGGTTTTGAAGGGTCATCACAACCTCTCCATATTCTGGATCAACGTTGTCCGGGGAGTAGCTGGCTTTGCGGCTGATCTAAAAAAGGAAGTTATAAAAATACGCTACACTACGCCAGAGAAATAAACAGTAATAACTCATAACTCCAAATCTTCTTTCTTCCCAATCCGCGCCATCACGTAGGAGTCACAGGCGCGGTTCGTTTTCTTGTTGATGAGGCCGGTGGCTAAATCAGTGGTTCAAAAAACACCAAAAACGGCCTACCAGCCACAACATAGAGACGCACACGGCACGCTGTCACTCCAGGAAATTCGACGCCAGACGGTTGCGCCAAAGCGGCTAAAGAAAAAATCTTTCTTGGAAAAGAAGGACCTTACGCGCTTTTTCTCCTTCATATTTTTGGAGGAAAAGGCGCCCTTTCAGCTCTCCCGTCAATTCCTTCTCTTCATGATCATCAAAGTGGCCTAAAACTCCCCTTTTGCTGCAGGGATAACATCACATGCCTCGTGCCGATTTCTTGAACTGGAATTTGTCGAGGAAGTCTTTGAAGCGCCCATATTCCTTGGTGTCTTCCAGTGGCCATGGGAAGATGCTCAGCGATTCGATGCCGGTCCTGAATTTGAAAGGTAGAGTGAGCCAACCTAAAACAAACTCTTTGAAACCTAGCACGCGTTCGGAGTGCCCGTCCGAATAGTAGAACTTGCTCCACCAGTCGATGCGATAATCGCCCAAATGCTCGTCATTCACCACTAAAAACAAAAGGTTATGTTAAATCTGGAAGCATACCTTTAGGCAATTAAGCATCAGCTGCATCTTCAAGCTCAACCAGATCCTCAAATTGCTGCCAGCCGTCGTCAGATAGTTGGTCTTGCTGTAACCAACAAAATTTCACAAAGTATCTCGCCGCTAACCTTTCGATGCCGGTTGTCTTGACGTATTTGCGGTAGTCGCCGGAAATGATCGTGTTGAGGACGAGCGGCGGAGCGAGTTCCAGTTCTGAAAAACAAATTTTTAAGCAGAAATCTTTCGATTACCAGCAGCATGACGTTTTGGAAGGTGACGAGGGGCTCGTCAAAGTTCGGGTTATCCTTGACATATCGCAATGGGCGGAGTTTCGCGTCAGAATCGCCAAAGATCATCGAGATGAACGGGCGGCGGAACGGTCAGCAGCTAAAATGCTGATAATGGTTTGATTTCGAAAGCTTAAAACTAACAACTTACACACAGCCAGAATTTTGCCCAATGGGGTTGGAATGGGGGGTTCGAGTGGGGCTCCATTGGGGGTTGGCATGGGTGTCTGTTGGGGGGTGTTGCGATGGAGGTCAAAATGGGGTCTTTGGGGGTAAATGGGGTTCGGGAGGTCTAATTACTAGCATTTGGCGCATGCCAGAAATCGGCGAAAAAGCGTTGATTCCTGGCAAATAACAAGATACGGACGCAACGCGACTGACGTATTTTGATCCCCCGTTTCGACGTGAAACTGCTTGAATTTCATTATTGTGACGCGATTTATTTAATCGTGAAGCCATTCCAATCATTCTAGCTGTTTTTACTTATAAAAATGACCCCGGGATAACCGAGATCGCTCAGTTGACGCTAATGACGGAATACGAAATGTTTACCTGAGATTGATGGCCACCATCAGCTCGGGCCAATACGTTATGTAGGCGACGACTAACTAAAACAAAGCTAAGTAAAGAGTTAAAACAAACCGATTCCAAAGCCGTCTTCATATCAGCTAACACCGCTGGCAAATGACCATCTTCTATTGTGGTTGGGTGCTAAATATAAAACGGTTAATATAATAAGGTGACCAGCAGCAGGTTGAGAGTGCATGGTCGAATTAGATCCAATTCTGTCAGGTAGACTTCAAGTAAAATTTTCGACGTCGGCAATTTTAACGCCCTGTTTAACCAGGAAAACGTAATTTTAAAAATCCCAGCGTGCTGCATGCTTCTAACACTGGCTGTCAGGATATTAAAGGGATAGGGACGGCATCCAGTCAATTGATTACGCGCGCGGAAAGAAAATGTCACTGCACCCTCCCCGGGGCGCGCCTCTCGCAAATCATTATGGATTGTTACAAAACGTAATTATCAAGTCAATGTGGGTGCAGCAAGTTCCCCACCATTCGAGCCGTGCTCATCGTCTTCTGCGAAGGATTTTTAGCGCCCCAAACATCCGTATGTTTTACGAAAGTCCACCTTAAAAGATAATCGCCGAAAACTAGTCATGACCCACCCCTCCAGCCGTTCGTTCTTGTAGTTCCGAACAGCTTGTCATCATAGACGACGCAGTTTTTATTGGACCCGATTCAGCGCTCGCGCGTGTGGCGCCTTGCCAATCTCCCTAATTCAAGGCCAATCATGTAATAAATCATGCCTTACCGAATAAAGCCAACCATCCAGAATTATTGAATTATGTACAATCGGTCCCGTTACCCGCGAGAGATTGAAGTACCCAGCGGATTTCCCACTCGTTGTTTCTAGTTTCCGTAAGCTAATAGTCTTGTCTTAACAAAAGTGGTAACCAATCAGATTTTTCTGTACCTGATAGTGGTAGACCTCCCAGAAACACTTCGGCTCCGCAGGCAGCACCATCTCGCCTATGTAGGCTAACCGTTTTGCCTATTATCTCTATCCACATTTTGATGTGCAAGACAGCCCGGCACTTGGTCGTCTTGTGACTTCTTGCGGACAGCGCCTTCATCCACATCAACTGCCTGGGTTTTCCGCAGTACAAACCGGCAAGAGACCTCGGCTTCCACCGAGTGCATAATCTAGGATTGTTTTAATAAAATACCTGGCCGGTATACTTCTGCTGGTGATATGAAAACATAGGCGACGACTTTTTCAGAAGCCACCATTTTGATGAGGATATCAGGCAGAGTGCATTCAGCATCACGAGCCAATTTGCTAAAAGTTCACAATTTTTTGGGAAATCTGCTTTCAAATTACCATTGTGAAAGTGCGGCACGAGCCAGACAACGGGTCCCTTCCTCAACGGCTTTCTCGAGCGGCAGAGTTTAAATCATGAGCGACAGCAACCCTTCACGAATCTGTGAAACAATTTTCCGGAACCTTTGGCAGCTCAGCCTCAGCGATCATGCGTTGTCAGGTCTCCGGTGAAGAAAATCGTGGTGGGAGCAGGTCGGCTTGGGGCTTGGTGGTGTTGGATTGAGGCGAGCATGCGGCCAGCCATTCGGGCCTTCCCCGACCAGCTCGCGCCACCATGGGACGCTTTTTGTCCACCGAGGGCCGCCACTTCTCCAACAGCTTCTTCAACCATTGCTTGGCGACCTAGCACAAATTAAATTAAAGCTAACGGAAAAGTACCGCTGATATCGCATTGGACCTTTCGACACGATGGTGGACGTTTTCCTAGAGGCATCAATCTCGAAACAGCGGTTCGTGGTTGCCCCAGCCCATGCCAGAAATCGCGGCAATCGTCATAGTCCGGCATTGATGGTGGGTGCTGCTTCTGGGCAGCGGATACGATCGTTCGTTGCTTCCGTGGTTTCCCATTGACAGCTAAAACTGAGTGAGGGCGTCAGCTATTACAAATTCATACCAGGGAAGAACGAGACTTATGCAGGGCATCGCAACAACAGCGGTTTGAGTTTTTTTTTGCCCCCATGCGTGGCAAAGAGGCTGTAGTGGTTGAGGCGCTAAAATCAGCGATTTCCTTGTGTAAGTAAAGTCACACTCGCTTCAAATTTGAGCCCATACTTGACGGCGGCATGGAAGGGTAGCCACCTCCGGGTGATCGCCATGGAGATTGACACACTCAGCAACGGCAAAATACGCCCGTAGAATCTAGGCCAAATGTAAAGACGCGACTAAGTATATCTTTACTTGCAGTTGTCGGTTTCCGGAATCGTCAACTTTGCGGCGAAAGCGGAGCTGGGGCATCTTCTCGGGGCCGTAAAGTTGAGGAAGGCAGGTCCAAATGACGGCAGATATCCTTCTTCGCCTGGGCAATAGATGTCGCGAAACCAATAATGCGGAACTTGGGCGATGACCGTCTTCTTTTTTTCCCGCGCGTCATGATCAGATGGGAGACGAGGCCGATTTGGATGACGGTGAATGGAGGGGACCGGAGGGCTGGCTGTTTCGTTTGGATGGGACAGACTTGGAGCTCGACGTCAAAGGATTCCGGCATTGGATGCTCGCCCGATTGATTGCCAGCAATTACCTAGAAGAATTCCGTAAAGCCAACTAGTTGTAGAATCGATGGTAAATTCTGCATCCGGGCACTTTGCCCTTGCGGGGTTGGATGTTCTCGTGACCTTCGGTGACTGAAGAGTTGGAGCAGAGCAGTGAAAGACGTACAAAAACGGCAGGAATTGCAAAGCGGCGAGGTTTTGTACTGACCACAAGTGTGTATCCGGCCAAAATCGGGCCGAGTTGAAGATGTGTCTTTGCTATCTCGTCGTCATTGCTTGGATTGAGGTGATTCTCGCCGGCACTTTGTAGACGGCAATAGACACCTAAAAAGTAATATAAAGCTTCCGGCAAGAGCTCCACTTTGATGCAGCCGACATCCTCGCTCCCGTTCAGCTCGTTGTCCATCATACGAGCGACGGGTAAAGGGCGAATCCACTTGTTGAGGATGGCACTTTCAGTTGGTGCATGATCTGGAAAAAGCTTATAAGTCCCAAGTGGAAATCTTACCAAAACAGCCATTGGGCAATCGAAAGACCCAAGCAGCTTATCGCTCAACACACGGCGAACAACGCATAAGCCTGAAAAGCTAATTCAAAACTTTTCGGGCAGAAGCTCCTCACCTGCAATGTGATGGTCTTCATTGCCGCTTTTTCCAAAGTTGTCTCCAGGGAAAAATTGAGGGTTCTGTTGCTATTTTGGGTGAAGTTCGAATTGGTGACGCACGTGTGGCTTTTGTTCATTGAGATCAAGCGTACGCGTTCT